CTACTACTACTACTACTACTACTACTACGTACTACGTACTACTACGTACTACGTACTACGTACTACTACGTACTACTACTACTACTACTACTCTCTCTCTCTCTCTCTCTCTCTCTCTCTCTCTCTCTCTCTCTCTCTCTCTCTCTCTCTCTCTCTCTCTCTCTCTCTCTCTCAAGTATACAAACATTAACAATGTTTTTCCCTTTGAATATGAACCGTACAGGTGACAATTTCCAGCATTCTGAGCTCCTGTGCAAACACATGTAGCCTATGGTCAGGCAAACAAGTTCATGTTCTCTCCATTAAACTGAGTCTCAATTCCTTGCCTTTTGTTTATAATTCTCTTCTTGACATGTACAATAAATGCAGAGCCTTAGAAGAAGCCATGCAATTGTTTCATAGCTTGAGAGATAGAGATGCCATCACATGGAATGTGATGATCATGGGTTTGGCCCAAAATAAGAGCCCTGAGGAGGCCTGCAACTACTTTTGCCTTATGAGGACAGAAGGAATACAAGCTGATGATGTTTCTTTCTCTACAGTTCTTTATGCAACTGCAGGTTTAGCTTCCCTAGACCAAGGGACCATTATACACAGCCAAGCTATAAAATCTGGTTTTCACTCTAACGCATGTGTGGCCAGCTCCTTGATAACCATGTACTCGAAGTGTGGGAGCATGATTGATGCCTACAAAGTTTTCAGCGAGATGGGTTCATCACGAAACGTGGTGTCTTGGACAGCTGTGATTGCAGCTCACCAGCAACATGGGCTCGGGACTCGTTCGATTGAGCTTTTCAAGGAAATGATCAAAGATGGGGTCGAACCTGATTATATAACTTATGTGTGTGTCCTTTCAGCTTGTAGTCACAACGGACTCATCGAACAAGGGTTTGAATTCTTTGATTCCATGGTTCGAGACCATGGGTTACGGCCAGGACATGAACACTATGCTTGTATGGTGGACCTATTGGGCCGAGTTGGTCGATTAGAAGAGGCAAAGCAGCTCATTGAGACCATGCCCATTAAGCCTGATTCCACAGTTTGGGGTGCTTTGCTTGGTGCTTGTAGAATTCATGGCAATTTGGATATAGGAAAAGAAGCAGCCGAGAAACTCTTTAAGATCGAACCCAAAAACCCCGGAAACTATGTGCTTCTATCTAACATGTATGCTACAAAGGGAAGGTTAGATGAAGCCAATGAAGTGAGAAGACTAATGGGTGTCCATGGAGTGAGAAAGGAACCTGGGTGTAGTTGGATTGAGTTTCAAAATGTCACATATGTTTTCAATGTTCATGACAGGTCTCATCCTAAGAGTGATGAGATTTATGAGATGTTAGGGAGATTGGAGGAATTGGTTAGAGAGAGAGGATATGTAGTCAAAATGCGGTTTGCACTGGATGATATGGAAGAAGAGAATAAGGAGCACAGATTGTGGTATCACAGTGAGAGATTGGCCCTTGCATTCGGGCTGATAAGCATGCCCGCCCCCGCGCCGATAAGGATTAAGAAGAATTTGAGGACCTGTGGAGACTGTCACTTTGTGATGAAGGTTGCGTCAGAGATTTTCAAGAGAGAGATAGTTGTAAGGGATGTTAACCGATTCCACCTGTTTAAAGATGGTTCTTGCTCTTGTAGAGATTATTGGTGAATATCTTGTCATTTTTCTTTATGGAGTGAGGTTCATATAAGGTTGCAACCTTAAACAATTTAATGTAAGATGCACCTCTAAATTTTGTTATAAGATGCAATTTTGGTGTCTCTAAGGATGGCCCGAGAATCTATTATCTCCAATTATAAAAATTTTGAACTCCAAAAATAGTTCAAATCAAGTAGATCTATTGAGTGTCTACTTGAGTAGAGGAATGGCTCATCTCAACCATCCATTGTATAGTGGCCAAGGCCATATAAGAAGATCATGTTACAGTATAATGTATAAGATGAAAGATCAGGTAAAAACTGTAAAACCCTATGTAATAGATTCTAAACCAAAGTGAAAACTTGATTAGTTAGATTTGGCTCCCTGGTTACTTTCATGAAATTGACAAGGATGATCAGTTAGATTAGTTTCCCCAGTTAAATGCCATGGAAAAGTGAATAATGATAGCATAGACTGCTCAACATTCAGGCATTCGCTTGATTGTTTAGTGTCGATTATTGCAATGCTATATCCACAGCATGAATACCAAACCAAACTACCCTAAAAAAATAAAGCAAGCGTAGAGGACAAAACAGTAGAACAATCTGCTTCCCAAAATGGGGTCCCTGTCAACATTATTCTTTGAATTTTGTACCTTTGGATACCGAAGCATGAACTGTGCGGTTGAGTATGTGATCAGCCTCTTACCGATACACTCCATTCTTGATGCTATTTTTTGTGTCGACCGTTCCAGACGTGAAGAACATTAAAAGGTTCGAGCACAAGGTTATAGTTTGAACCAAAGACGTCTTATGCCTATATACCTCCACATAGAGGGATATCAGAAGGTTTGACATTTTGGGAATATTACAAGGTTACTCGAGCACGAGGTTAGGTTGAATCTAAGACATCTTGTGCCGTGTTCATTCCCTATATGACTGCACCAAAAACATCCAACATATTTTATCCATACACCCAATTTTGTAGCCTTATGTTACACATACGCTCCACTTTTGGAGCCATGACTTAAGACCCCATTTCTTGAACTGGCCATAGAAAGGTTTTCGAGCACAAGGTCTAGGTCAGAATCCAAAGGGATCTTGTATATCATGTTCATAGGATCGACCACTGCACCAACAACATTTAAGTTTGATAAGTATGAGCTATTTCTTATATACATCTAAAAATTATTACAAAATGATGATCATATGAACATGTATTCCTGTGTCTTAAACGCCGGTTTTGCACACACTAGTCCATGTCTAGGCTACATGGCAAAATGTATATAAGAAATTTTTCACAGCTCATTAGTTCCAATTCTCTTCAGAATGTACGCATTTGCAGTGCGGAAAAATCCATAGAGGATTTCCTTTTGAGCATTGGATCTCAATACCGGACTCATGGGGTATTTAACAATATTATGTTCAATTATCTTGTTGTGAAGAGGTTAACCTACAACAAAAAAAACTCCATAAGTTCTAGTATTTACAGAAAATTTTAATTTTATTTGTTTCAATCTGATTTTATTTCTTTCAATCAGTTTCAAATATGACTATTCATAATCAAAAGAAAAACATCTTGGATTGTGAGTTCTTAAATCTAACCCTAAAAAATTTGTAGGATCCTTGTTCAACGAGGATGTTATCATTTTTAGGTTATAGGTCCAATTTAAACATTTTTTTAACTTTTAGGTTGGCCACTAGGTCAAAGAGGTTGCATAGGCAAAATTTGGGTGTTAAGACTATTAGAAAATTTGGGTCAAGACTACACCCAGTCTAGATTTGACCCTCCTCCAGGATCACAAAATCTTTTTGACTTTTTCTTGAGGTTGGGGGTGAGGGTGGTTGGTGATGTCTTGCACAAAACTACAAACTAAACAAATGTGTATACCACAGGCTATAAAAAACACTACGGAAAGTTACAGAAAATCCAGTTTTAATTTTAAAATATAAAAATAATCTCATATATTTTATATCTTACACTCAAATTTATTTATTTTTTAATAGCATAAAGTATATTTTAGTTTTATCTCTTTATCTATACATTGGATTAAACTCAAATTTAATATGTTCATATTTTTCATCATCACATACCTATAAAAATATTTTTAAAATAATTTAACATAGATAAGATTATCAAAATATCCCAATAATTATAATACTTCGTTACAAGATATATTACTCTTTGGCCTTAAAACCGTTTTATTCTTCATATAGGTGCATCTCGAGATTGAGATGATCAAATTAGAGGGTTGACAACTTATATTAACTTTTTCATTTAAAAAATCCCGTTAGAATACATTTGATTAATAGGTGAACAAGGATAGAATATTAAACAATTAAGAAAGGGCCACTAATAAGAATACACGTCAGACGTATTTTGAGAAATTTTTCTTAAAATTATTAGGAAAAATTTTATATATATATATATATATATATATATAGTTTCTGTTATTACGGCTCTATTGAATAGTTTCCGTTATTTGCACCGTGTCCGTTTTTTATGTCAAAACATAAATTTAAAAAACCGACTACTTTATCTTTTTTTGGTTTTTGAACAACGGAATTAAAAGAAAATACATCAATTTCGGTTCTTGAATAACCGATCGATTCTTCAAGAACTGAAAAATGTTTTCTCTCACTTGTGCCTACCTCTCTAAAGTCATAGTTATCCGATAAAATAAAAAAGAAATAATTAATTTGAGCCCCTAAATTTAGAAAAAATCTTAGAGATCATAAGATTAGAAGATTAGGAAAAATCGTATGGTATATTATCTCTCTACCTCTTTGAAGTCATGGTTATCCCATAAAATCAAAGGAATAGTTAGTTTGGGTCCCTAAATTTAAAAGAAATTTAGATATTATGAACTTACTAAAACAAAGACGAAGAGAGAGAGTTTAAAAAATGAACTATTTTTACTCAAATAATGGAGAGAGCAGGGGTAGAGATAGAGGAAAAATATTTCAAAATTTTAAAATTTTTTATTTTTCAAAAACCTAAATTGGCCTGAAAATTCTTGGAATTCAATTAGGATAAAGGTGTTTTTTTTAATTTCTGTTTTAACATGAAAAAATGAGTCACGGTTATAAATATCGAAAACCATTCGGTAAAGTTGTAATAATGTAAACTACAACGAATATGTTTGTAATTTCTCAAAATATTATTTGCCCAAGATTTACAACGCACCCAATCCGTCCAATTTCACATTCGAGGGCTTTGGGCTATTGTCATCTAAAAGATTTTCGTGAATTCCCGAGATAAAAGCAAAAGGTTTCCTGAGAATGGGATTGGTCCTCTCTCTTTCTATAGTCCCTCTCTACAGAGTGGGTTTGGTCCTCTCTTTCCTCTACGATGGCCATCCTCACGGAGCTCGCCCTATTCCCCACAATTTCTGCATTTTCCGGCCAAGTTCCGACCGGCTCTTCCTTCTCTCTCTCATCAAAACCCAATGCCTTTCCCTTCCTTTCTTCCTCTGCATTTTCTCACACATCAAAACCCCTTAAAAATCCCCTTAAAAATCCAGGAAGATGGCGCAAGCGCCTTCAATGCGTTCTAGAACAAAAGGAAGCAGTGGCGCCGCCTCCTTCAACGGCAGAAGGAGAGGGCTTAAACGAGGTTTTGGACTGTGTTATTGTGGGGGGTGGCATCAGTGGGTTGAGCATTGCTCAGGCCCTTGCTACCAAGCACAAGGACGAGGCTAAAAAGGTAATTGTGACAGAGGCCAATGGTAGGGTGGGTGGCAATATCACCACTTTAGAGAGAGATGGGTATTTGTGGGAGGAAGGCCCCAATAGTTTTCAGCTCTCTGATCCAATGTTAACAATGGTGGTAAGTGATTTCTACTCTACATTTTTGTAATCTTTCTCTACTTCTCGTGAAATGGCCTCTCTCTCTCTCTCTGAATTGCAGTGATGGTGGTAAGTGATTTTTACTCTGAATTTTTGTAATCTTTCTTTACTTATGAAACTCTCTCTCTGAATTGCAGTAATGGTGGTTAGTGATTTCATTTCCATTTTCATAATATTTTGCTAAATCTTATTTGGTGGCCTTTGACATCTCTCTCTAGTTGAATTTCTTTAAACTCTGTGATTGTATTTGTTTATTTTGATTCAAATGCGCTAAACATGGTGGTTAGGGAAATTGTGTATTCTCTCCAATTCTTATTTAGTGTCCCTTGTTTACCATCTCCTCCTTTCTCTCACTTTAAATTTGAAAAAAAACCCTGAAATTTTGTATCTTACTCATGATAGAAATGCGTGTTTCTTTTTTACATTTTTTTTAATTGATGTTGACTGATGTTCTTTTTCTTTAAACTGTAAAACATTCTGAATATTTAATTATTTGAAATTGGGTTGGTCTGTGTTTTTTTTTGTTTTTTTGGGAAAATTTTGTTGTTGTTTTTAATTCTAAGTCGAACTGTGAAATACTCTGCACATTTATTTGTTTGAAATTATGTTTAGTTGTGCTCTTTTTTTTTTTTTGGAAAAGTGTTTCATGTGGGTTGGACCGCATTTCTACATATGCGGTCTAGAAAGTGTAAAGCATCCATCTTAAAGATGGATGCAAGTAAGTGTTTCATCTAAAAACAATAGAAACTAATGGAGAATGGCATAGGGCCTTGATGGTCGTATTGCGGAGCCCTATGATGAGGTCTCTGGCTCCATTCTCACCAAAGGGTAGGGACCCAAATCTCACTTACTTTACCACTTTAAAAAACGTTTGGCGGCCACAAAAATGGCCTGCACTCCCGCCCTCTACCCCCTGCACCCATCCTCAACCTCCAC